GCTAGTCACCATGAATATCACAAAAATACATGGCAAGCACCTCTGTAAAGATGACATGGCATATAACAAAACACATGTAGAGCTCAGGATCATAGCATGCACACATTAATCATGGCAAAAATGACAAAAGGCTATTTGCTGAAACAGATCTGACAAATTCATCACATAGCCCTCTTCCAACAGCATTTCGGGCATCAAGATAAGCTCAAATAAAAATGATGCAATGAGATGAAATGATGTACTCGTCGAGACGAACATTTTGATATGCTACACGCACGAATTAGAGCTACGATGAGAGAGTTATGGCATGTTAAAGAATGCAAAAAATATCAGGAGAAGAGGGAAAAGTCAACCGAGGAATTAGGGTTCGTCCGGATCCAGATCGGATCAAGCACTGTAGTGGCGCGACGTTCGAGGATGGCCGGCCGGAGCTTCTACTCCGGCGAGGTGGTGAGGTCACGGGGGAGACCGGAGAAGGCTGGAGAAGGACGGGGCGGCGCCGGCGGTGTCGAGCGCGGTCGCCGGCGTGATCTGCGCCGCGGGCTCGCCGGAGTGGTAGGTGGCGCGGGCTCGCCGGCGAAGGGTCCACGGGGAGGGCCGGCGCGGCTCAGGCCGGGGAGGGCCCCGCGCGGGCTGCGGCGGGCCGTGGCGGTGGGAGTCCCGGCGAGGACACGTGTCGCCTCGGGATAGGCTACGGGCGGCGGCGGATGTTGTCCGGCCGGAAACGGACACGTCCGGTCGGCGGAGGAGCGGGTTTTCTAGGGTTAGGGGTGGAGAGATCCGAAAATTTCGGGAGGAGGCCTTTATATAGAGGTAGAGGGAGCTAGGAGGCTCCAAATGAGGTGCGGTTTGCGGCCACGTGATCGTGATCAAACGACCGAGATGATGGAGGGGTTTTAGGTGGGTTTTGGGCCACTTTGAAAGGGCGATGGGCTGCAACACACACGAGGCCTTTTCGGTCCCTCGGTTAACCGTTGGAGTATCAAACGAAGTCCAAATGGCACGAAACTTGACAGGCGGTCTACCGGTAGTAAACCAAGGCCGCATGACAAGTCTCGGTCCAATCCGAAAACGTTTAACCCCACACACGGAAAGAGGTAGAAAGGACCACCGGAGGGCATAGGAGTGCCGGAATGCAAAACGGACAATGGGGAAAAAGCTCGGATGCATAAGACGAACACGTATTCAAATACAATGCACATGATGACATGATATGAGATGCATGACAAAGACAACAACACAGAGAGACAAAAACCTGACAACGATGAAATAAAATAACTTAGTGCCGGAAACGGCAAGAGTTGGGATACAGATAAGGTAAATTACATCCGGGGTGTTACATGCAATTACCAATTCAACTGAGATAGTTCAGAATGTTCCATTTGCATCTCGTGCCTCTAATGAGTTTAGCCTGCCAGCTAATCAGTATAGCATGCATTGCAATAGTCATGCCAACCCCAATGTTCCTGGAACTGAGAGCCCAATAAGGATAATGGATTCCTTATCACCGAAACTCTACCCAAACAATATTGCCACAGCTATTGAAGATCCTTTGCTAGTTCAAGCAACCGAACAACATGAACACATTCCAGTAAGTTTTCAAAACCAGAAACTTCAACTTGGCAACAACGTGTGAACAATTCTTTCAAATCCGCGACACTAGTAATTCAAGAACCCAAAAAGGCTGGTAAGCAAGTCATCTGTTCAGATGGAATAGAGAATGATTTCTACCAAACATTGGCTGGACTTCTTCCCAAATTAACTTACAACTATGTACAAAAAGCATATGAATTTTTATGTGATATGTTCTACATAATTCGAACATAAACAGTTTTTATATGCGATCCATACTATTTTCTCATGATTTATTTTTTACTTTTCTTCATGATGTTCTTCTGCCATGAACAGCCAAAGGATATTTGAGATTGAAGGAGTTTGGGTGGATCAGAAAACTATAACTCTATCATTCAAGCCTGGTGGTTGGATAAACCCTCGGGTTGTTGGCTGTTTTTCAAAACTAAAGAATAAAGACCAGCTGGACCGAGGAAGAAAAGGCCTCCTGCGAAACAGTGAAATAGTGGAGCACATAGTTAGCATTGACGACATGGTCAGCCTATATTTTGAATTCTTCTCCTCAGTTTTTGTTTTCACATCATCGATATTTCCTTTTCTTAACTATCAATCATTTTCTGGGAAACAAACATGCAGGAGAAGCTAATGAACCCAATGCTAAATCATTCAGATCCTGCAAACCAACTAATCTTACAGGAAAGTAATGTTGGCTTCAGTTTATTGAATGCTTCCTTGGTAAGACAAGTTCTTTTGTACAAACTGCTCTTATAGATTTTTCTTCTTTAAATAGGTTACACTATTAGATTGTAACTTTCCACAATTCCCTAGGTAAAAATGCCCATATTCAAAGAAAAACAATGGATTTTAATCATTGCTAACTTCAGAGCCAAATTTTTTGATATCATGAACCGATACTACAGTGGTGATACATTTCTATCAACTATTAGTGCGGTTATCTACAAATTCAAGGTTTTGTTTGCTGCTACATACGGAAATTCTAGTTCTTTCAGCATAGGAAATTTTGAATCAAGATTTGTACCAGCTCCCAAGGTCAATTTTAGGTGGGTTTTCCATGGAACTCTCCCATTTTACAAGATTTGTACCAGCCACCAACAACTTTTTGGTTCTTTCTCCTAAAAAGCAGATTAAAAGTATTTTAAATTCACAATAATTTCCATCCTAAGTATGGAACTGATTGTGCTATTATTTTTCTTTCACAGGTATGACTCAAGAATTTTCCTTCTTCGGTATGTTAGCAAGTACAAAGGTCTCGGTTTGGAGGGTTTCTCTAATGTAAGCGATAGACATATGTTTCCTTTTTTGGTCATTAATTGGAACATATCAGGAAATAAACATCACTTTTTCTAAAATACTGTAGGATTATTTACATGCTCTACGTCAAAAATTCCTTTTTGAGATTGTAACTTGCAAGGACAATGAAATTCAGCTCCCGTTAGTAACTTATTTCCTGCAGAGACATGTAAGTTCTCTATTTATTTTGTCTCCCAATGATAGAAAAGAGATGTTTTTTCTTAGAGCCTGTTCTTTCATAACGAACAGTGAAATTATTTTCTTCTAATCATGTATATGTTTCAATAGGGTTTCCGCATATTCAAGTGAAGCTTTGAAGGCCAAACTTTACTCGTTCTGCATATGATAGTAACCTTAGGTAACTTCTGAAATCAACATGTATTTCCAATTAACATGTTTATTCTTTCTATTCTCAAGGGTCTCATTATTCTTATTAGTTAGTGTAACAGGGTTCACCCAAAAGAATCCCAATGATTAAATGTTCTGCACTGCATTTCCAATTAACATATTTCTTCTTTTTATTCTCAAGGGTCTCATTAATACTGTCACCTTCAAGGGAAGTTGCACTGCAAGATTCAACTCAAAGGAATACTTCCATGCGAAAAATGTTTCCTTAACAATAGAGCTATCTTTTTTTCTCTTGCTGGTCTAGTGATAGTTTCTTTGCAAGACCTTCGGCTGTAAACAATGTCTGGAGACAGCTGAAACAGTTCTGTAAACGAGCAACCGATTTCTTTGGGAAACATATTTTCCTTTTTTATTCTCAAGGGTCCCAATGCAAGAGTTTTTTTCAACTCAAAGGAACAGTTCCATGAGGAAACTAATCTGCTGTTTGTTTAACATGGTTCCCCAGTTATATTTTCTTGCATTACGTTCAATTGTAAAGAAGGTTTAAATCTGCAAAATAAGTTTGTAAAGAAGCTCAAATGTTTATATTCTTATTTCCAAATAGTTTTTTGTATGTTTATTTTTTTGCTCCTATACTGATTCTTTCTTGGCTTTTGGAACTCTTTTTTTACTACTGTTTGTCAAGTTTCACAATTATTGTTGACCCCCTCCTCTCTCCTAGATTTATTTTGGGCATGTGGCAACCCCCGTAGAACAAAGGGAGCACCAACCTTGATATAAATAAAGGATTACTACCTAGCCGGAGGCTCGCCTCATTCACAACATACCACATACATTGTAACCAGTTCATTGTGAACACACAACAATATTATCCTTAGGCAGGAGTAATGTATTACACCTCTACGGTGGCCTGAACCTAGGTACCTCCGGTGTGTTTTACCTCTTGTTGTTTCCTCTCCGGCGATCGATGCCCTCGGTAACGTAGCATGTTTGGTCCCTGGTCGATCTCACAAAGGGTTGTTGCACACAACCCAATGTCAGGTTTCTAGACACCGACAAGCAAAAACAACCAGCAAAGTGAAACAAGGTGAAACGACCGGTGAAGATCCAACGATTGAAACCAGGCAAATGGTCGAAATGACCACAATCGGACGGCAATCGAAGGTGCCAAGTTGCCCATGATCTTTACAATAGACGTTTGTCCCAATCTGTTCAATCGGGGGTGGCCCAAAGCGTTTTGCATGCTGGGCTGGGTGGTGGGCCTCTGCCCCGAAGTACCCAACCCAAAGGGAGCACCTTCTTCGGCCTATATAGAGAAGAAAGAATTTCATATTGGCATCTGATGCGAAGCAGGTGGTCATGGATATCCACAATTCCAACCATAGAAAATATGGAACCATCATTTCAGAGATACTTCATAGAGCTACCATGTTTACTTGTAATTTCGTTTTTAAAAGTCGAAACTCGAATAACGATGCTCATACATAGCCAAGTTTGCTCGTTCTTTAGGTCAGGGGCGTCACGGTGGCTTGGCCAACCCCATGATCCGAGATGTATTCCACGTTCTGTGGCTTATGAATGAATAAACTTGGTTCCCTAAAAAAAGATCCAACTCCCATCGACCACATCCCCGCGCACATCTCAGGGAACCCTAATCGATCCAATTCCTCCCATCCCATCCAATTCCTTCCATCCCACATCTCAGGGAACCCTAATCATCCAATTCCTCCCATCCCCATCCCCACCCCCCACCACACACACACCCAGCAATGGCCCCGGCGGCGCAGGAGCAGTGGTACATCATGTACGCTGTTCCGGATGTGTCGGAAGATGTGATGAAGCCCCAGAAATTCCCCAACGCGACGTTCTCCTTCAACAAGGTTCCGCTACCTTCCCGCCTATTCGTCGAGAGTAGCGTCGCCAGCCCCGCCGGAAGCGTCGAGTACCCCTACATCGCGGCTGCCGACCGCAGCGGCCACCTTCTGCTATGCGGTTACACCTCGTTCGGGCTCACCTTCTACATTTGCGATCCGCTTTTCCGCATGACGATGGGCATCTTCCCCCACGACGGCGGCTTCAACTGCCACTACTGCGTTGGCCTCATCCGCAATCACAACCGCAGGCTTCTCATGGTGGCCGATCTCAACCCGTGCTTTTTCGAAGAAGATGTCTTCTTCACGCTCTTCTGCACGGTCGACTTGTACTCGTGGGTCGAGAAGGAGCCCGACTGCTCGAAAATCTTGGATAAGCAACAGTGGCGCGGTGATGGCGTTCTCACTCATGAAGGTTTGCTCTGGTGGTTCGACTTCTCCTACTGTATACTTGCCTGCGACCCCTTCCACGATAAACCGGTGCTTCACCAAATCAAGTTCCCGCATGTACAACACGAGCTGCCCTTTGCACCGTCCACAATCAACGGTGACATACTCCGCTGCTTAAAGGTGAGCGAAGGCAGCCTGCGGTACGTGCAGATCCATGGCCCCAGACACGAACCGGTGGTCAGCATGTGGACGCTGTCCTCCAACAATCCGTCAGAGGCGCAATGGAAGCCGACGCACGAAGTGAGGTTGGCTGAGATCTGGAACCATGAGACCTACAAAAGGACGCCGCTGCACGGGGATGTGATCCCCACTGTGGCGCTTGTCAACCCGATGAAGGCACACGAGGTCTACTTCTTCCTGGACAAGCACATCTTCTCTGTCAACCTGCAGAACAGTAGTGTGGTGCAGTATGAGAAGTTTGAAGATTCGGGGATGCCGGACCTCTCCTCCCGCCTGGTCCATGCTTGGCAGTTTCCACCGGAGCTCACCGAATATCATCACTTGCCTGGTACCCATCTTGTTCTCACTCTCTCTTAAGTGATTTGCAGATTTGCGTGTATATGGCATTAGCATGATTAATTCTGTGCAAGTGTTAATAATTTTATTGAGCACATAGCGCATCGTCTCACACCCTTTAATTTAATGCAGGGTGATATAACTTTGTTTTTTTTATTTCAATATTTAAGGTTGCAGTTCATGTTTCCTTACTGTTATGGTGCTCTTTGTTTGTCCATAAGCCTGTGCTGACACGGATGGCCATTATTCTAGATAGATAGATACATAGATAGATGGTTCAGAGTAAGGTTCTTCTCCCAACACAGAATGCACCATACTTGGTGGTGGCCTGTCTTGTATATGTTGTTTTTAGGCTGTTCTGACACAGTATTTCTTGTTTACATCAGTCCATTATGCTTGAAATTCACTATATGATGCTGGTACAGCTTGGCTTGTGTAACAATCCAATTTACTTAATGAGACGTTTTAAAGTAACCGTCCACCACTTTTCTCGCACATCCCTCATCCACACGCCTCTGTTCTCTTACCCAAAGCAGTCATTGTTCTTCATGTAAGCTTGGACTGAAATTCTTGGTGGCCTGTCAGCTGTGGCGAGCTGCTGGAGTGAAAACTTTTTTTCCTCTGTTACCTCTATATTCCTGGCCTTCCGCTGCGACCCCTCATCTTTTTTGCCCCTCTGATCCCCTTCCCTTAATTCTCCAAACAGGGAGACTCAGACAACAAAACTTGGACTTATATAGTGCAACCCAAAGGCATAGCTTCATTCATCAGAGTTCCATGCAAACATGTGCAGCAAGCTTCTCGTGCCAGCATTTTGCAAGCGACAGTTTTTTAAGCCACACACACACTGTCCCAGATCCCACATGTATTTTCTTTACATTCAACCATCAAAATCTATTAATAAATCTTCTATATCCTGCTACCACAAAACTATTTTAATCCTTTACATTTATCCTCATTCATGAAACCGAAAGGAGTGTCTCGTTGTCTATTCAACTAATACATGCAGAGTGAATCAATAAAGACAGCACAATGTGGAAAAGTCAGTTCAATCTGGAACACAGTTTGGAACTTCATGTACAGACATCATCTTATTTCTAAGATTGTTGTCCAGCTTCATATGGCATCTTATTTATGAGATCGTTGTCCAGCTTGATTAGATCTTTGTCTTTTTATGTTGATATGTCTTGTAGATGATGTTATTATGCGGTCCTTTGAAAAAAAAAACCTAGCACATATCAGGATTCTGTGATGCCCAACTTGCTTGCTGAAAATATGATACTTCAACTGCATTTCATTAGTTAATTTATCATTATGTTGCTGGGATTTTAAATTTCACCAACACTAATTATATCTTTGATTAATCTGAAGGAACCGATGTGTTGGGTGCCACGGGGGTTTATTTCCTGAATCAATATGACTCAGTGGAGGATTTCCATGAAGAAGTGATTGCTGCCACAGACAGGTGAATTTGTTCTTCACTCATGTGTATAGATTGTTGTTGCAGTATATGTTGCTTTACTCTAGAAACATCCGCTTGTTGCATTATAGAAGTCTTTTTTGTTTCAGAACCTAATGGATGCTATCTTGTTTCAATTTATTCAGGTGGTGTCCCGAATTGCATGAGATGGGTATGTAGGAGATCTACTAAACTGGTTTATTCCAATGCATTCAGTTGGGAATGTTTTTTCATTTATTGGGTCTGCTGGCTAAAGGAATTTCATAACACAAATGTTTGCTATCCCAATCATGGATCATCGTTTCTTTGTGCAGGTCTGGAGGAACTTGAAGATGGAGATGATGATGCCTCTGAGATGGGTGTGGATCTTGAAGGGGATGGAGATGACTCTGAGACGAGTGGGGATGACTCCGAGATCAGTGAGGACGATGTCGAAGAGGACGGAGATGAAGACTGAGATGACCTAGACGATGGAGGTGATTTAGAAGTGTGCTAATCTGTTACACATGGCTGATTTGAGTCATCCGCATCCACCCCGCGTTTCTTCACTTAAAGAAATGCTTTTACTGTGTTGCTCCTTGTCTAGTCTAGTGGTTCGGCGTTCTGGTAGCACCATGGTATGTTTTGTGGTTGTAGTTTTCTGTACAATGCGATAGTACTATATCTGTTTCGGCGTCTCGGCTGGCTGGGTGGGGGTAGCTTCCGGTTGGCCGCCTCCCCAGCTCCCCAGCTCTTTCCGTTTACGGAAACCCCTTTGGTCAATGAAAAAACTGCTCTTATAAAAGACAGCAAAATCGCACTGTAGCATATTTCTGGAACCTCCCTATAAAATTTGTAATGGTCGTTTTAAAGCCTGCAGTTAGTTTTTAGAGGAAGGGATGCATATTTTCTGAAATAAGAAGTTTTGTTCAGGTCCTTTCTGATTTCAAAGGTTAAAGAGATCAACAAAGCCTCCCGACAAGCTGGTGTTAAGAGCTTAAACCCATGTGATTCTGAAATCAACTCGTTGTCAAGAGCTTAAACCCATATGATCCTGGAATCAACTCGTCGTTTTTTGGTGATACTCTTATCCCTCCTTTATGGCCTCCTCTCATGTCAAGTTTGATGTATATTAACCTTTTTTGAGGTTATCAATACGCTTTAGCCGTTGATGTCGGATAGACTTCTCTTCAATTAGGGCTAGACCAACTCTATTACGTCTAACTCTACACATGTCGTCTTTTTGTCAACCAACTTTACTCATGTCGTCTTTTAACTAACCAACACTCAATAATGAGGGTTGAATCTTCATCCTATAGAACACGACTTCTACCTTCTGCGGCACTATCTTGTTCGAGAAGCTTGGCATCACTTTGTCCATCCGGGTTTTGATTCGATGGCTCACATTTTCATCGATATCATCATCCTTCTGCAATATTGACCTCAAATATCGAAAGGTGTCATTCTAAGGTATCACCTGCTCGTCAAGGCTAACCTCCTCATCATGCCTAGATGTACTAAATTCACACCTCATGTATTCAATTTTAGTTCTACTAAGCTTAGAATAGTTTGATTTCAAAGTTTATCTCCATGGCTCTAACTTTTTATTAACCTTTCATCCGACTATCATCGACTAGCACCACATCATTCATAAAGAGCATTCACCAATGGATATCTCCTTTTACATCCTTTGTGACATAATTCCATCACCAAAGAAAAAAAGCTGAGGGCTCAAAGCTGACCCTTGACACAGTCCAATCGGGGGAAGTCGTCGGTGTCGTCATCACTTATTCAAACACTTGTCACAACATTATCGTACATGTCCTTATGAGGCTAATATACTTCCCGTTTCTCTAAGGCCCAACACATGACATACTGCGGTATCATATCGTAAGCCTTCTCCAAGTCAAAGAACATCATATGCAAGTTCTTTTGCTCCATGTATCTCTTCGTAAGTTGTCGTACAAGAAAATGGCATCCATCACCAAAGAAAAAAAGCTGAGGGCTCAAAGCTGACCCTTGACACAGTCCAATCGGGGGAAGTCGTCGGTGTCGTCACCACTTATTCAAACACTTGTCACAACATTATCGTACATGTCCTTATGAGGCTAATATACTTCCCATTTCTCTAAGGCCCAACACATGACATACTGCGGTATCATATCGTAAGCCTTCTCCAAGTCAAAGAACATCATATGCGGGTTCTTTTGCTCCATGTATCTCTTCATAAGTTGTCGTACAAGAAAATGACTTTCATGCTCGACCTGCGAGGCATGAAACTAGACTGTATTTTGGTCACACTTATCATTCTTCTTAAACGATGCTCACAGTGGAATACACAAGGGGTGGCTACTCCACGAGGAGCCTGGCAGTAGGTCTGCCACGGGGCCTAGGAGGCCCATCAATGAGCTAGCAACAGGACGGAGCTCGGAGCATCAGATAGATATCTAGGGACCATATTGGCCCCAAGTCAAGATGGCGGCAGCCAAGATTGGATCTACCTCCTATAGACCTTAGTCGTTGTCGTGCATATAAGGAGGGGGCTACGAGGCTCTCACTCCCACATACTTCTGTAGACCTTTACTCTTGGTAGCAACACTTATCCCCCATTGTAATCCCTCACACGAGGTACACCCACCATGAATACAAACTCAAAGCAGGACGTAGGGTATTACTCCTCATCGGAGGCCTGAACCTGGTTAAATCACCACTTTGACCTCTAATCTGGAACTTCCCGGTCACGTTCACTACTCTATTGAGGGTATTGATTGTATTATGCACCGTTAATTGTGCGCTAGGCATGGGCCGCGTCGGCCGGAGACCTATCCTAGATCGAATCTCCTCTAGCTTCCGGCGGCCTCCCACCGGGAGAGAGCCTAACCTCCGGACCTTTCACCTTCACCGCGGACAGGTCGGGTTAACTTCAATCCACCGGCCTACCCTATCCGCATCGTCTTCTTTGGCGCACTGGCTTTCATCATCAATAACCATGGCGGCTTCCACGTGTGCGTCCAACCGCTTCGACAGATTGCATCGGTGGCCTCATCGAGCTTCGTGACAACTTCGCCACCGCCCTTCGATCCAGGAAACGTCTTTGGGCAGCAAAACGTCAGAGCGACATACCAGCAGGCGATGCAAGCATGCTTGGACGACCAGATTGACGACAAGTCAAAGGCCTTGTCAGATTCATCAAGCTATACGTTGTCCTCACTGCCGACCACTGACTCGAAAGGCGGCGACACTGCACCAATAACCCCAGTGTTTGAGGCCAGGGCCTTGGCATCAGGGGCAGGGCCCTGCTTTGACCTCACGACGTCCCACTAGCCCTTCACGACTTCTCACTTTGTTATCTTGGTCTTAACATTACAAGAAGGTTGTCAAGCTTCTTGTCCTGCTAGTTACAATGGTAAATTGCATGGTATGGTAGGAATTGATAAATAGATAAAGTAAATAAAGTGGTACAAGAAAGAACAATATTTTTGTAGATGTTTTCAGTCATGTAAAGTAGACCCCCGGGGCCATAGGTTCACTAGTGGCATCTCTCCAAGCAGATAAATGTATGTGGCGAACAAATTGCAGTTGGGCAGTGATTAAATTGCAACATTTATATTTATGACTATGATCATTCATGGCGTACTCTTGTATAGGCATTACGTTCGTGATATGTATACCGTTATCCAACTGCATCTACAACTAATACTCCACCCCAAGACCGCTATCCAAATGCATCTCGAAGTATTAAGTTCATGAAAAACAGAGCATTGCAATAAGCATGATGACATAATGTAGACACTAAAATTGTCATCTAAGTGTGATAAAGAAACCATCCTTTTATCCTTGGTGGCAACAATACAATACATGTACAATCCTTTATTGTCACCAGGATCAAACTCACGACAAGATTGAACCCACTACTACACACCACTTCCTGTGAAGAACTACGTACCTATCAATCCTGGTCAGAGAAGAAAATGAAAGCATACATAGCTAATCAATTATACAACAAAAAACTTCAAAAGATTCATTTAATTCAATGAACAATCAGATCATAAAGTGACAATTCATCATATCCAAACAAACACGACCACCGATAACATCATGTTGATCCCAATCATGTGAGGTAGCTCCCGAAAACTTTGTAATGAATCATAAGGTAGAGAGCATGTCATCTAGATACTGCAATGGACCCAAGGTCCTAAGTAAACTACTCACACATGACCATGGAAGCATCAAGAGGTTGATGAAGATGGCTTCAACGGTGGATTCCCCCTCCAGCATGGTGCTAAAACAGACCTCCAGACTGGATCTCCCCGGAAGAGGAACTTGTGGCGGCTAGAAAAATCGCAAAAAGGTACCGAGGTTTCCATGATTTTTAGGATTTATAGGTGAAAAATGGTCGTAAAGGTGGTGCCCAAGGGGCCCATGCGGCCATGCCACACAGGTGCCCCCTAGTCGTACCACCAGGCTGTGTGAGCCTAGGGTGTCCCCGCGACAGATCCCGACACTTTTTGGAATCCTCGTGTCTTGGAAAAAACATATTATCTCGCAAGGTTTTTTTAATATTCATAGATATAGATTTTCTAAGAAGTCAAAAACATGTAGAAAACAGCTAGCTTTGGTCACTGAATTAATAGGTTAGTCCAAATAATAATAAAAATTTCCATAAAAAGTATTCAAAATTGATATTATAATAGCATGAAACAATTAAAAATTATAAATAAATTTGAGACGTATGTGTTAGGAAACGTAGTAGAAAACAAAAAAATCGTCCTGCTGTCAAACAAGTTGTTGGAAATATGCCATAGAGGCCGTAATATTGTATTATTATATTTCCATTTTTATAATTAAGAGTTCATATTTCATGCTCTAACTGCTATAATCCTGGAATATGTGATTCAATGGAAAACTCATATGCACGTGTGGAATTATAAACTGTAAAGAATAGGTTCCTAGTCTCGCCTCTGAGACTGACCAAGTGTTGTTGGTGATCATGTTTTCCGGATCATAGGATATCGTTAAGTGTAACCTTAGTCATAGAACAACATTGAGAGTATGACGTTAGAAGAATGATCATATTGAATCGACCCAAACTTGTTTGTTATATTTTGAGATAATATCATTTGAAATCAATTGTTATAACACAGAGTGTTAACTTGTGTTTTGCTACTTTGACCATGTGAGTATCATAGTCACTTCCTACCATACGGTGGACTTTGGGGTTGCTCAAACGTCATCTGTAACACGGTGACCACAAAGACAACTTACAGGTTCATCGGAAAGTATGACAAGGGACTAGATAGCTCGAGAGTGGGATTTGCTCCTCCGATGATGGAGATATATTCTTAAGGCTCACTCAGTGTGGCGGCATAGATCATCATCTAGCCAGACATAGGTGACTATGTCATGGGGATGCCGAAACATATCGGCGAGAAAGAAGAACAAAACCGACAACGAGGATGATGGTATAGTGAGCATGCG